CGGTGAATAAAATAACTGAATTTAAAAAGTATCGATTTCGTAGTACAGACTCATCATTTTAGTTCACAATGAGTTTTTACAAGACTATCTATCAATATCGTTAAACCAAGATTTAAACTCTTTTTTAATGCACAGCTCAAGCCATAACTCATACTATCAGCAGTTAATAAAATACAACTTTTACTGTTCGCAACTATTATTGATATATTCCCTGATGTAACATTAATATTAGTGGTGATAGAAATAATATATTGAAACATTCGGAATTAAATAAATCTAAAACTTTGCTCCAAACTTTCCTCACTTTTGCAGAAAAATCATTACTGCATGCATTTCAAGTATTATTAGCAGACTTCGGCATCGCGGAAGTGATGCTTATTGCCGTCTGATCGCCAGCGTATTGTATTGCAGTCGTGGCCTACCACTTCGGCAATTCTTAATATGAATTACTACTTTTTATAGGTTTTTCTTAGTTATACGATGCTAAAATGTTTTAAAAATTAAAAATAATTGTTCATCATCACAATTTTCGTGATGATCTTGATCAGATAAACCCTAAATTGCATCAAACGCAACTGAGGTTGAGACTACACAGACAAAGACTACTATTACCTAACTCTGGTTATTAGTTAGTTATTACTAGAGCTGTGCGGTCGAAATTTAAACGCTGCGAATTGACCCCCACTCCGGCAGGCCAGAGGCTTGCAACCGACGTTATGTATCGCGAAGAAAATTACGCGAAAAATAATGTTAACGGCATGTCCGTTGATGATTTTAAAATCCATATTCACGAAATAAGAGTAATAATAATTTTAATAATGTTCAGGTGTCCGTCTCGTTGACAATAAAACTATTTGTGTGAATTATCAAAAATAATCCACAACTGAAAAGCGAGAAGCGATCAAGGCAAGGCTGTAGCGATCGGCACTGTGGGCCGATAGTGGGGGTAAATAAATTTCGACCGCACAGCTCTAGTTATTACTTTCCAATTCTGATTTATCTGATAGTTCGCCTTACTTCCAGGGGTAACTAAATTAATTTTATATACAGAATACGTAATTACATGTGTTTTCCCTTACATCTCATTAATTATACCGGGTGTCTGGAAAATGGCGGATTAACTCTTCAGGACGTTATGTACTTACGGGGATTTCGAAAGTCCCAAAAAATTAATAAAAAAATTCTTTATGGTGTAGATTACGAAAAAAAAAATTTATCAAAATAAAAGAAAGCAGTATGCAGTAATAAAACATAGAGTTCTACTTGAAAAAATTGAGATATGGCTTGTTGAAAACTGTAATATATAACCTGGAAACGTCGCATTCGAAGTTCTAAAGCAAAGTATACTTAATAGGGGCCAATAATATCATGTAAATATAATTTTGTATATAGGGTACTCAGTAAAAAAAAAACACTAAATTGTATGTTGCGGTTCTAAAATAATACACTCTTTATAGCTGAAAATAATTCTAGCAGCTCAAAGACAAATAAACTATGGTACTGACTTTTTAGTCTCTTACAATTAAGAAGATATTAAGAAACGCACACTTAATAACTCACCCTGTAAATACTGTGAATCAGAGCACTATTGTATAATTGTAATGGTGAATTAGGTCGGAATTTATTTCTTCGAAAAATGTTAAAATATGATTTTGCAAAATTTTATTTTTTTCTGATAGCCACTATAACTAAAAAAAAATATCTACGAGAATGGGATACGAGCACAGCTCAAGTTGCTGAAAGTTTGCTCTTTAGGTTATTCTATCAAGGCCTGCTTGTCTGTACGTGTGCGAGATATTGATTATATGATATACTCGGCAAATATTGCACAAACATTTTTGTAAAAATCAAAGCGCATTCATAAACCCCATGTGTAGGAGCTGTATTCTTTTATAAAATTTACATAATGTTTAATTTTGCTTTCCTTCGGTCGGAAGTTAGCAGTAATGTTTAATGTACAAAATTTTAAAGGGACGTCATCAGATTGTTGGTGGGGGTGATTTGACAAATTTTGATAAGCATTTTACCTATTAGAGCATCTTAAAATTTCGTGAATTATCAAAATGACTTTTTATCTTGGTTAATTATTCGAAAACAATTCTTGCTATAACACCTTGGTAAAGTTTCGTTAAATTTTTAGACGCTATGAATAAATGGTAATATTTTTACTAGAACTTTTTACTTATTTTTTGCCGTAACCTTTAAATTATGCAGTATTGCTCTAAACCACCCTGTATATATAGTAATTAATAATAACGTCAACGGCGTCGCTATAACTTGAATTAAAATAAAATTGTAGTTAATGTCTTTGAAGACGTCATCAACTTATTCTATATTTTATATGTACAGTGTGATACTAATCATATTTTTACTGTTTTCGCAGAATTTTAGAAAAATCAGTAGGCCAATTTCTGGAATAATCACAGTTATTTTTTTTAACACATTAGTTATAGAACATTGTCAAAACGCTGCCATGTTTTAATAAACATTTTTTAAATATTTTTTTCAGACGACCTGATTAACTTTCTTGAAACAGTGTCCTGTGGATCGAGTGATCACTTGTTAGTGTCTTACGTAGTTTAGGGTGAGATTTAAAGAATCAAATTTCACGTTGATAGCGTTAATTAATGTTTTGCAGATATTAATAAACAAATTTTGATAGATATATGTTATTATCTTCACGATAATCTTAACGTACTTTCAAATCAACCAGTCTGTAGGTTCGAAGGTAAGCTCTTCAGTGTAATTTTAAAGGCCAGATGCCTATATATTTACTTATAGGTATATATTTTTTTTACATATCATCCATGTAATATGAATTGATTATATTTTTATAGTGTGCGAAAACTAATTTATGTATTTATTTTTATTAACAACGTATAGTATAATCTTGCTACTCCATTATTGATATGTGACACAAAATTGTAGATATGTGTAAAAAAGCGCAAGATGTGAAGTAAAATAGTTACAAACTTCAAGAAGCTGAAGAACTTCAGGTTTTTCTAATAAAATGTTTATGAAAATTTTATAAATATGTATGGCCGCCCACCAACATATTAGGTCCTCCAATTTTATTATTATAGCGTAACTCTTAATCAAAAATGACGTCCTTCTAACAAAAAACGTAACATCCAGTGGCGGCTCGTCAGGGGAGGCAGGGGAGGCAGTGCCTCCCCTGGAAAAATTGACTATTAGTTTTTGTTTTAATATCTCTCAACTTCAAATATATTTTAAAGATATAGCAAATAACTTTTTTTCACTAGCAGCCTGGACGCATGCAAATGTCGACTCATTTAGTGGTAGCAAATTCAACTTTTGCTACCACGGGTTCAAAAAGAAAAATTGAGGTTATGTAAGCAATGTTTGATGTGATTATTTCTTAAAAAATGAACAAATGTGTGCTACAAACATTACTTGAGTATACGCATGGTAGTTGGTAGACGGTAGAAGATAAAATGATTAACTCAGCGACAAGTATAAACGGTTTTCTTTGTGTTGAAGATTTAGATCAAGTTTGATTAGAAATCAAAACAAAATCATGTTGCGTCAAAAAATTGAACGTTTATTTTTCAGTTTATTGTCTTATGGTTTCTACTAGTGAAAAAAATAGTATATTAACCACGGTTGCAAAGCAACTTCTAGACCTCGCACGTAGAGCCCTCGACGCTGCGCGTCTCGGGTTCTAATTTGCGCTCGGTCTAGAATGCTTGGCTCTGCAACCTTGGCTAATAATATACTATTATAGAACACTGTGATTTATTAAAACGCGTCTTGGTAACATATTTTGAAGTACGCGCTTTCGACAGGAATAAGCGCTGATCATCACCGTGTAGGCCAACTTCAGACGGAGGCATGCCTCAGATAGACGGATATCTTCAGTATGATTAGTCAGTGGTGCTAATATGTTTTTGAGAAAGACAATAGTCAGCAGTGCTTTATCAAAGCGCCAGCGGAGGCACCAACGCCTACCGTCCTTAAGCCAATCGGATCGAATTTTTTAATCTCACAGTGAAACTGCACAATGCTGAACAAGGATGCTGAATGCATTTAGCGTGCATTTAGTTGTGCATTAATTAGACGCGAGAAAAGGTGTTCACTGCATGTGCATTGCCAAGGTTATGTATTAAAACTTAAAACTTGAAAACATTAGGACCATGAAAATGCCAATCTTGCAATGCTGATAGGAACTAAGAATCTCTAATTCTCTAACGATATTGTAGAATTTCTTATAAAGTTTAAATATTTAAGCACGGTTTTCTTACGACGAACAGTTGTATGTCAAAGATTTAGGAACCTCTCATCCCAGATTTGAGCAGAACTTTATTACTTAATTGATTAATATATTTAAATCAGCCCTAGATCATATGAATTAAAATTTATGCTAATAAAGCAAATTCTGTAGTCTTTACACATTCTCGTTGGATTGTGTGAAGCAATTAAATGTTTTTTTGTTCGAAAAGGGTGGAAATATGTTACTGACTCACAGTTATTTGTATTGTTTTCATAAAAACGGATAAGAATCTGTCTTTTTACAAAAGTAATTGCGAACATGTTAATTAATACCTGCTGATTTTGAAACGAAAATGTTGCCTCCCCTAACGGAAAGACCACGAGCCGCTACTGGTAACATCTATATTTTATTAACATTTTTTTGGGATAATTTCTAATTGGATAAATGCCGGTAAAATTTTAGAACAAACACGTGTCTTGGTAGTTGTTTCAGTGTTTACCTATAATATGACTAGTTTGTCTTCTTAGTATGTTACATTAAGGCATCGTGTATTATTCATGTTGTTTTCTCAACCAAGGTAATGCTGTTTGAAGACGGCAATCAAAGCCAACTCTGAATCGAAATCTTTTCCATCGAAACGTAAATAGTTTTTCCACAGTATCATAACACAATTTATTACATCTTAAGAGATCATCGATAAGATAGAACCGATAAACTTTTATATTTATTTTGTATCCTTCGCACACACTGACCCTGTTCTTTGTTCTAGAAGCGGCCCAACGCCATGCTGCCAGCGGTGGTGGTGTTCACAGCCGCCTTAGGGCTGATATCTGGTAAGCATCACTACCTTATAAATTATTCCGAGTCCGGGCGTAGACGAGGGATTTAAATAGTTGACGGGCGAGGTGACAAATTCGGGATCCTAGTGGACCGGAAACTTTATTTGTCCCCGAACGGATGCAGATTAGCGGCAACATCGGGATACTTATACTTGTTTGACAATACAAGTGTGAAAATAACAGGTGGAAGAAGATGCGGACGAAAATAGCCTCCGGAGACTGCGCCTACATACTTCAATCCCGATGTTGTATCTTATTTACTCAAGTAAATTGGAAGATCTCTGTGTAAATTAAAACCCACTTCATCCGGAAAGAAGCTCGGCTTGAACGTGCCTTTTTGGCACAAAGACCCCCAAAGATGCGAAATCGAAAATAAATATTGACGGCGGCAGATTTGGGGATGTTTTAATTTTGTATGAACAACGTGACTTATATGGCTTAAATGAAGGGAGGTTTTGCTTATCTAAGTTTAAAGTAGGGACTAAGTTTTGGAGAGTAATTCAGTATTTACTTTATAACTCACTTAAAGCAAACAGTGTTGTGGGGTTTGGCATGGACGAATAAAGTTTATTATTTGAGCTAGGTTGTGGAAACTTGTTTATGAATAAAGGAGCTATAATTATTGATGCAGAACTATGTAACTTCTGTAACAGTGAAGTGAAGAGTCACGATTATTCTGTCTGTTATCTTTTTGTTTATTTTAGGATGGCTTTGACAACGCTTTACCTTTAATGAGAGAAATTTTATTGTAAAATAAGTTCAGGAATTTTCACTTAAGTTTAAATAGTGTGGGACGACATTTGCTTAACAAATTTGCAATTGACTAACGTTTCAGAAAATATACTTATTTCCTGTTGAGAATGGAAGCTTTCTCCTACGTGACTTTGTAATGCGTGAAGAGCTTTTTCAGTGATTATATAATGTATCAAAAGAAACATTCCGTTGGGAGACTATTGTTGGCGTAAGCATAAGTCTCTCAAATTTAGGGGAAAATGTAAATTACTAAAACCCGGAAAGTGTTCAATATTGAGAATTTTCTCCCCAAGAACAATTATTTTGTAAAAATATTCTATTTGAGAATAAAGAATAACTGTTACAATAATTTTTAGTATTAAAAACCATGTCATATTCAAGATTTTGAAACTCATTACTTCTGAAACTGAATATTACTTACATTCCCAATTTCATCTAAAAAATTACTATTTAAAAAAAATAATTTATTGCAACCACAACATTTAAAGTTTAAAAAATTCGAATTACAACAATTATTATTATTATCACTATATTAAGCCGCACATTTTATTTCTTATCCATTTCTACCGGTAGGAACTCGATCGAAGTAGGTCATGGAAGCGTGCCGCCTATCACTTTATGTGTTAAATGCACAAAGACGCACGACAATCTTGCCAAAGATGTTTACAGAATCTGCTCGAGTCGTCTCAAATCATCAACAACTTCCTCAGATACTGAACGTCTTCCAGAAGATTTGCCTTTGTTGACACTACCGGTAATTACGTTTTTTGAATATGCAAATCAGGGTATTTCGCCAGATATTCTTGCTTACAAGCGGTTACAACACATACTCTCTCCGTTTACGATTGTCCCATTGGGATAACAAGAATTCATGGCCAACTACGCCCTTAGAATTATTTATAAAAACCCTGTACAACCGTCTTACGGAAACTTTTTGAGATTTAAGAAGTGCACAAATTTATTTTGGCATGTTTGGTTAATCTAAGTTGGTAACCGGAAGTTTGGTAAGTTTCCGGCGTAACTCTTTTGTTGTTTAATATTTTTAAGTTAATTTTGAATGTATCTCAGGACATGATGCTGCCTTTCATTCGCTACAAGGAAACAAGTTTTCGCGTCGCTTTACATCGTCTCAAATAAACTTCTAAAAAAGAAAACAAAACTTTAAGTTTAATGTCAGCCCGGGTGAATAAGATTGGCAGATCTTTAAAATGAAAACAGATAATATTTATTTGTATGATTTCTACTATTGTCAAACCACTGACTGTAGTGCTTATTCTTATTACTCAAATTTATTAACGTTAAATATTAACTACTGTAAATTCTAAAGCCAGTATGACAGTCATTTTTATTCAGTTTCATGCCATTAGAATAGAAAAGGTACTTTAACTAGTATTTATTGTCTAAATATTGAGTCTCTAGGGCGCCAGTAAGTTAGATCAAAATAGCTCACCTTTATCACTACCACTACCAAGTATTGATGACGTTAATTTATAATTTATGGCCTAATTGTTAAAAAAGGGTGACACAATGCATATCAATAAGGTCCAGTCAACCAAATCCCACTTCTGGTATCCATGTTTACAAAATAAAGTACATTTGAATCCTTCTTACATTACAAAAGATTTACGAAGCACAATTTCCAGATGACGTCATCGAATTGTTGGTGGGAGCGCTAAAACAAATTTGGTTAGATTTTTACATCTATATGTGATGTAAGCGGGTGAGATGGGGGTTGGTGGGTGGGTGGGGCTTATCTTTTGACTTTCTTTCCGTAAGATATTTAGGTTTTTATACTTACTAGAATATCAAATGTTGAATTTGAGGTTAAAATTTTGTCCAGCTATGTCACCAGAGTTGTCAGGTCTACTGATTTACGCTACAATTTTACAGAAAAATTAAGTTGTGCATATTAAAAGTTTCGATATTTCCTTTTACTTTAAAGAGAATATTAGGAATATACATTCATTTCCTTTTCTCAAAATAGTCTATTTTCAACAATACGATAATACCTCAAACATGTTATACTTGGTAATTTCTTATACAGAAATATGGATTTTGTAATTAAGGTCTCACAACGAATAAATAATCACAATTGAGATCAGGGTGGGTGGGTGGGGCATAATATTCGGCTTCTTTTTCTTAATATGTATACATAGTTTAGTTTTAATCCTGTAATTCCATTAAGTATATCTTCCTAGTGCTAGCTCTACTCCACTTAAAATGCATGCTTTCACACTAATTTCTGAGGCAACTAAATAAGAAAAATTGGTTGAAGGCTATTTCGACTGAACTTTCCTCGGCCTTGAGGTATAGTCCGGCAAATACCGCCTCCTTACAAAGTTATAAAGTTTGATGTTGCGATTTTCGCTTTGTGACAATCTTTATATAATAAAAACCACTGACATAAATAACACAACCGCAGCCCCTACCTATGAAACATAAAATATATAGATATTCTCAATTTCTCAGTACATGCTTAACTTCAAGTGTTTATCTTTTAAAAGAATATGACGTTTGACTGATTTTGTTTCGTTAACGCAGAGGAGAGGACTGCTTAATTAATTAACCACGCTTTGTTATTTTCCCAAAAACTCACAAATTTGAAAATCATTTATTCGGCAAAATTGTAGGTTGACGGATAAATTTTGATTAACGATTTACCATGCTTCCAGTAAGCTTAAAATAACTGTAAGATTACATAGCATTTCAAAGTTAAATTATTGTAATACGTAAATATATAATTTTCATTTTTTTCAAAAAAATCTGAACGCCAAGGGCAGAAGCTCAGCACGGATACATAAATCACCCATGCAGGAGTATGTAATTCTATCAAATTTAAAGATAATTTGTTAGCCAAAGCTCTAAAATAATGTGATCATTTTTTAGCAGGCATAAACGAAAAAAATTTGATTAACGATTTACCATACTTATGATAATAATCTTAAGAAGCATGTTTTCAGAGCATTCGGTTTTGCAAGTTTATAGTTAAGTTGTAAATGTTTTTTTTTTTAATTTGGACTTTTTTTCTCAAAAATCTGGATCTGTGGGGTAAAAACTCTAGACGGTGTGCAGGAGTATGTTTTTTTATAAAAATAAGATTTACTAATGTAAATTTTGGTGAACACGTGGGGATGATTAGCCAAATATTGGTTAGCGTTTTACTTACCATCTACATCTACACAACTGGTGCCATTGTAATATATGTTTTTGCTTAGCATACATGTTTTAAGTTTTCGAGTACCTACTTTAATTTTTGGTATTTAATTTTTAAGACATGTTTTCATTATAATTTTTATTTTGTTGGAAGCCCTTTTTCTTAATATTTGCGACCGTTTTTTCAGAAACTTCCAAAGCTAAGGAAGTATTATAATCCGAGTTCATCGCGCGACTGCTACTTTCATTTCTTCTAGACGTGTCATGACCCCAAGAGTACGAAAAAATTGTCTCCCATTTCTGTTTGTCTGTCTGGCTGTCTGCCGTCTGTCCGGATTTTTATTAGGCAGATAATCTCCAAAACCACTGGACCGATTGTTGTCAAATTTTGTATGTACATTAGAAATATCAAGTAGATGGTAAAATGCTAACCAGAATTTGGTTAATCATTCCCACCAACAATTTGATAACATACCTAAATTTCATGAAATACTCCGGTATTGGTGGTTTATGAATCTATATTGATTTTTTTATTATTATTACATGTACTTATTGTTCAATCCGTCTTGTTCTTTAGACACATAGTAAGATACTGCGTAACATCAAACGTGGCGCAGTGATACAGCATCAGATCAGAAAATCTAAGCTCCGGCGATTGAAACTAGTCGGAAGCACGTCTTGCTTGTCATTATATGAAAACAAATTTAATACAGTTAATCACTCCCTAATTTTTTATTGATCAAATTAAGAAGAGTCACCGTTTTTTCTTGAAGAACTGGGAATGCGCCCGAATTATGACAATAATATTCAGAACATTTGGTCTATTGTGGCTTAATTAAACAAATTTCTACTCGTACGTGCTAATCGTGAGACCTTTTCGATGTACTAAACACAAACAACCGAAGTTATTGAAGTTGTCACAAAACAAAAACCGAAAAATCAAATTTTTATTTCAAAAAGCGGAATTTGTAGAACTGTACTTCTGAAACGGGAGAAGTTCTTTCGAAATAACCTTCTACCGATTTTTCTCAAAGGCGACTTTGTCCTAAAATGGTGAAATCAATAAAAAGTAAGACAGTCATTTACTT